GGTTGGTGATGGTTGGTGATGGTTGGTGATGGTTGGTGATGGTTGGTGGAGATCTGGAAGGGATGAGACTGAAGAGAACGATGAAGTGGGTTCTGACGAAGGACGTCAAGTAGCAAGGTCACAGGAAGGTTGGTTGTTTGGAGGAGTCTAAGAGGGAATGCTTTGGAGTCTGGACAGGGTCAGTCATGTGTTGTATTAACCTTTTACTGTATTTCTTTTTGTTGTGTGTATATATCTAGCTATATATATATATATTTCCTAGTATCCAACTTCTATTGCACAACTCCACTGGGCACTTCCTTCGCTCTCTCCAATCCAAAGCCCGGTTTTTCTTGTCGCCCCATCCTCTTCTTGTCGCTTCTTTGGGCCACTCTGACCGCGCCTCCGTGGCCAAGGAAGATTCATGGATTGGCCACCACTGGACAGTCTTTGAGCTGACCCGCGAAACGCCCATGTCACCACCTCCCAGCGGAGTTCAACCGGGAGGCCTTTCGGATGAGAACGACGCCCTCGTTTCGCGCGTGCCAAACAACCCCCGAAAGAAGCGGTCGATGCCGACGGAGCCCCCTCCGCGTGACCCGCGAGTCTTGGTCGAAGTCGATCCTTCTCGGTTTCAGTGTGATTTTTCAAAGAAGACATAGTGACCACATGGTGGATGTGACTGAAAGGAGACACACAACTTGAGTTCGTTTCAAAGCCGGAACCAGATGAAGTATTTTTCTTTTCATTTCCCATCTCGCAGTAACCACCTGGTGAAGCATCATTTTCATAGCACTGGTGGTTATCCTGTTCAGCCAATGTAGGGGACATCAAGCCACTGCTTTACTACAACTGCCTGCCTGCTAGTTGTGTCACCTGAATGCATGATGTCATAGCATCTCATTTCAACAGACTTGTGGTGCAGGTCGTGGTGCTCTAGTTCGAGCCGCTCCGCTCAATTGGGACCACACCGCTTTGCACGGGCACACTGCACGCGTCGGCTTGGCACCGGCACTTTTTTGCCTTGAACCGTTCTTTTTTTCTCGTTTGAGTCACATTTTTTGTTTTGGCCCCTTTTATCTCGATTCTTTCTTCATCTTATTTAGTTCTTCTTTTTTAGGTTTTGCCATAAAGGGTTGCACATTTGTTAGATATCCGATTTACCATAGAGCAAGATTGCTAGAACTACAGAGATCTTTTTCGTCACTAGAGTCCAACAAAGTGACGCTGAGGTGTGGAACATGTGCCCCAAGGGGAATGCTTTCAACAGCGAGTGCAACAGTGCCAGGTTGCTTGTCGCAAACGTGCCAAACGTTTCTTGATGGGACCTGTGAAAGGGCGTCTGTTTTTTGCTAACTTCTCCTGCTGTACGGAAGAATGTCAGAGGTCATGCTCTCTTTTGTTTTGTGCATTTGCCAGCTTGAACATTGGCTGAAGACAGGAGAAAAAATCTTCACAGCTAGCTAACGAAAAATACTGAGGTTTGCCGGCCGTGGGGCTCTGCAAGCGTCCATGAATCCTGAATACCGAGCCCAGTGCCCTGGCTCAGCACGGTGTGCCCTGAAGTGGTGTGCCCTGGAAGGAATCTGAACTCGGATCACCTAAAGCCCATCTTTAAAACATCGTTTTGGACTCCCAGGGGCTTGCATTTTGAAGATTGTAAACATGGGCCAGACTCACCAGTTGGTTTTCCATCCAGTTGCTCCTCTCTTCCCTCGTTTTGCTCGCATCCCTGAAACCAGACTGCTCGTTTTTCCTTGCAAAAAACCATTTCACCGCCGATGTCACCTCCGTTTGGTCGCGGCCTCCGCGCCTTCGGACCTTCTTCACGGGGCTCCGACGACTTCACTCGCGGGGGGGCATCGACCATCGACCATCCTCCATCGGGGTCCGAGTTCGTGCGGGTCTTTCCGGGAGCTTCGATGGTTTGCGAAACGATGGTACGCCATCTTCAGCACATGGATCATCGTCGATGAACTGATCCCACGAAAGATGTGGCAAAAAAGCAACAGCTCTTGATGCTCCAGAAACGCTGCAGCACCTCGCGCGTGCAAGCACTACAAAGAGTTGAGCCAGTTGAGCCTCTGTACGTGACCGCGCAAGATGTCCTCCATCAACAGGTGCAGGTACTCGAATAAGGGTAGAATGCATCAATGACAAGCATGGTTCCAAGCATGGGCATGGTTTGGCCTGACAGTTGGAAAATCGGCGTGATTCCCTGCGAGACCCCACCTTCTCACCTCGAAAACATCTCAAAAAATCCCATCCGTCCACCGAGCTGCTCACGATCCGTCTCTCAGACGCCCCATGATGGAAGTGGTCCGAAGTGACGTCCTTCGTGGTGCTTTCGGCTCCTCGGGCAAACGACACGCGAGCTACTGTGTGGGAGCGAGGGAGCGACGTCCCTCGATGGAGCGAGTGTCTTTTTTTTTCCAGGTCGACGGTCGACCGGTGGTTTTTCATGTTTGAGAGAGAATTGGAGATGTGTTGTTGTTGATTTTTCCATTTTTTCAGGGAGTGGCGGTGACTCTTATATTTTCCCGATAAAAGGGGGATTTGCAGGAACTTTTTGCTCGGGCTCGTAGACTGACATTGAGAGGGGTGTCCACCTGGGACATACCATGGGCTTTGCTATGTAGGAACATCAAGCTGGACGGATCTCGTTGTTCTTTCAACCTGTGGAGACAAAGCTCTTGGGGTCTTGGGGCACATCTCAGACTTGCTTGGCGTTCCGAGAATGTTCAGCGCCTGAAGAAGCTTCTTCAGCGCGGGTGATTGAGCTCCTTCTGCTTTCGCCTCCGGTGAAGGGTCCAAGAGTCAGGTCCGGTGCTTTCGAAGCGCCATGGCGCTCCGGGGTTGGAACTGATGAAAAATCATTGGACATGGAATAGTAGGTAGGTGGTTTACTTTAGGCCAGGTCTGGCACAAGAACCGAGGCAGACTTTAGCATGCGAAAACAGGTTGCAACTTGCCTTGCTTGCTGCCTTTGCCTGTAGCCAGCCACTTCGTGTGAATACGAGATGACTCGGTCTCGGTCAAACTCGCTGCCTCCACGAATGCCAGTGCAAATCAATAGCCCCCGCGTCGGAGCTGGAGCGCTGGAGCTTAGGAACCAACCCTTTTTGCTTTGCCCAACTAGAGGAGGAAATGGGCTGGGGTCATTTTGCTTCTGCCCGGCCTCCTTGGAGGTTTGTGGAGGTCCGGGTTGGGGGTCAGGGTCCGGGCCTTGAGGTCTGGTGTTCTCTTCTCGGGCCGCGTTCCAAACCGTTGTCTTCAGGCTTTGAAGATGTGGCTTTCTCCGATCCCATGGACCTGGAGGCCTATGACCGCGAGGCGGGGCGGCTGTGGCGGGGCGCGAGGCACGGCTGTGGCGGTGGCGGGCCGCACGGGCCCGGCTTTTGTGCGGGGTGTACAGGGAAACGCATCCCTTTTGAGTCCGGGAGTGTGGGTTTGTTTTTGCAGACAAATGTCAACAGCTCGACATGGTGAGGGGCCCTACGCCAATATGGCTGAAGCCTCTGGCAACCATGGCGTGGCGGCTCAGTTGGGGACGGAAGTGCCTGAAACGCTGCGTTTCACGGTGCGTTTCACAGCAAGCACGTCCATCTCGTTCGAATTGGTCAAATCTCCGTGGCACGTCAACAATCACCAGGATCTGCTTCCAGGCCTTCAGGCCAGGCCAGGCCTTCCTCGCGACGTCGACTCCGAGGCATTGTGGAAGAGATCATGGCTTTCTTCGTGGCTCCGGTCTCTGGTTACTACTCCTTCCTCACCTGGGGAGACATGGAGCAGGTCTGCGCGAAAGCGCGTGAGTTGTAGCGCTCGTGCGTCGGACGGACTTGGCGCTGGCGACCAGGTGATGCGGGGGCACCCTTTCGTCATCGTCCCCCCCCGGTGACGACCGACCATCCATAGAGGAGGCCTTTTGATCGGTCTGAGTTCTTCAAGATGCCATAAGAGATTCAGAAGGAATTTGAAATCACATGGAATACACATTCTTGTTGACTCAGCATTTAGGAAGATGTGTGACCGCACTCACTGAAAACCTGACTTTCTAAGAAGCCAATCGGCAGACAGAGGTCGCTCACAAGACTGGACGCCCGGGCACAACATTGTGTGTGTGTGCTTTGCCATTCACGAATTACTTGATCATACCCCATAATCATCGCTAATTAATAGATATTAAATTTTATTGGTTTCAAAAAATGATTGTGCCTTAATTTTATCTACAGTGTTAATTTTGAGATTGGACATGAAGGCACTTTAATCTGTGGCTTTTATTTCATGAAATTGACCAGCAAGCCATATTAGCCCTAGGCTTCCAACAACCATTAATTTAATAGGCTTTAACAAATCAACTAAGGATTTCACATTACAAAAAACAGGTCAACCATTTTCTTAATGGTCTTGGAAGTCTAGGGTTAGTCTATTCTCCTTATTGGCCTTTTCTTTTTACACCTTATTCACTTTCAATGGAGAAGAAGCCAACTGGAAAGAAATACCATGGATGACCTGCCGAGACACTTGAGAAAGAAGCATGCCAGATCTAATGAACAGATTGTGGGTAGTTCAATTGTATATGGCTTATGGGATTTTAACCAGCAAAGAACGCACTTGGCAAAAAGACACATGAATGAACATGGCAGATTAAACTCATAAGCCACCAGATTTATGCATTTCAGTTTGATTTTATCAACATAAATTCGGCGGATATTTTTCTGTTTATTTCTGGCAGTCAATTCGAGGACATCTAGGCTGTCATTTTACACGTGAGGACATAAAGGACGACCAATTGACTTTAGACTTTTCATTTTGCATGCTGGCACCAGCTTGAAACAAGATCAGACATGGAGTTCATGGTGGAAGAATCACCAGCTGCTTGATTGACTGCGACATGATTCACTGTGATATTCTCTGTGTTGCTGGAATTCTACCAGAGTTGCTTGGTTTATTTGCAGACGGCATTTCTGCACATGTTCTTCCGACTTCAGGGTCAAACACAAGTCCAGTGGACCATTCTCGGGCCAAGGAACTTCCCCTCCAGGGAGGAACAGGATTGGATTCTTTTTTATCGCTCAAACCCACTCGTGTTCGAATCTGGAACTGCTTTGGGCGTTTTCGCTCCTTGGGTGGGTCGTTTGGGGCAGTTTTGTGCCCCCACAGGATGTATGGCTCAGCCAGTCATCAGATCCTGCTGATTTGATCAAGGCCTGATCAGTGAGGATGTGGCTGTTTTGGGTGAGGAAGCTCACTGGCTGGGGGGTATTCCAGCTCTTCAAGGGAGCCGGTGGAGCTATACGAAGAGCACCTGAACGTGTTTTGCCAGTTCCTTCTCAGTCCTTTTGTTCATAGCTCTATTCTCAGCATCAGGAACAAACTCTCAAGAGAGACCCTTTGAAACACTTGAGTCCCTGAGTCGCTGCTTTCATTTGGCACCTCCAAATGGATGGTGACCAGTGGAAAACTACCTCACCCTCCCTCAAGTTGACCGCCCCCAGCGGACGCCAAAGTGCTTCATTCGGAACTTCGCCCGGTCCAACCCGCCGGTCCGGGTCAGGTGGCCAGGAAGCTCGACTATTCGCCTTGCAGGCGCGGTGGTCAGGCAACCACGGCGTCTTCCGGGTCATTGCGGGGTCTGGACATCGTCAAGCTTCCATGCTTGGGCGGACGAGCTCAAGGTTTGCAGGGCCTTGTGGTTCTTGTCACGTGGCCATGGAGAAGGGACAACATTCACGGTGATGAGACATTTTCCGTATCATTGTGCATCCGAACTTGTCGTCCTCTCTCTAAGAGGTTATTTTGGTTCCCTCATATGCAGTGCTGCAACTCGGCCATGAATGATCTCATTGAGGAGCAGCAGCAACCGCCGACGAGCTAGCTATGCTGGATGCAGCATGCACCTGGGCGCCGAACTGCAGTCGCACTGGTCACTCTAGGTCCACAGCGACAAATGGGTTTGGGTCAAAGCCAGCAACCCAATACCGCAGCAGGTCGACGTCTCTGTAGTCCATTCTGTTCGTTCGAACAATGGTGGGTCAGCCTCCTTCAAAACCCGCAGGATCCAGCATATGTTTTCAGCTTGATGACCCGAGCCGCACGATCCCAAATCGACTCATCATTGGCTCTGCTCGAGCCATCCACCTCCATCAGCTCCATGTCAACCGTTCGCAGTGTGACCAACCCTTTCGCCCGAGCCGAACGCATTGCCGAGCCGAACGCATCGCCGAGTCTCTACAACTACCGAAGTGACACCAGATATCACAACATCAACCAAGAGGCGGGGGCTTGGACTCCGACTTGGTGTGTGGCTGGATGCCTAGGACGAGAGTTTTATATACACGTCCAGCAGACCTCCTCCATGGTGTGGGGTAGAGAGAGAAGGTTCGGGAGAAAGAAGGTTTGGCCACCATCTACAGATTTGCGACATGAGGTTGGATAAATCCATCATGTAGAGGTTTTCGCTTTGCTGCCCCAAACAGATCAGACTTGATCCGACTTCATGTTGAAAAAGGTCTTTTCGTTGAAGGGGAAAGGGCTCGGGAGATATTGCTGAAGGTGAAGGTGGTGAAGGCGGTGAAGGTGGTGAAGGAAAGGCTCAACTTGGATGCAATTGGTCATGGATCAACGTCTTCAGGGCCCGGACTTCTCGTGCAAAGGCGTCATGCCTTCGTTGCCAGGCCCATCAAGGGACCAACCTTACAAGGAGAGCACTGCGCTGGAATCGGAAGGGTGGGTGGATGAACCCTGGCACACCTTTGAATTGAAGAGCCTTTGAGAGTGGCCATGGATGAGACAAAAAGAAGACAGGTACAATGCTTCTTGGAGGCTTAGAGGGATGTTACCCCCACTGCCTGCAGGGTTTGGTTCATTTTGTGCATCCATGACCTAAAGGAACCCAAGGGATCCAATGATTCATCAGCCAAAGGATGCCAAATGATTAAAATTATGTTCTTTGAGCCGAATTGTAGAAGCAACCGTGCGGCCCTGGGACAGGAGTTTTGACTTCTCGGGCGAGGATCTTGGGTACCGTACACCCACTGAGCACACCTTGTACCTCACCAAAGGCATCCGGTTGGGATGTGGAAGGAGAGCTTGTCATGCGCAAAGAGGGCATTTGATTCTCTGCGGAACATCACGTCGAGACTTTATTGGGAAGTTGAAGGTAGAGTCTCCGTGTCCACATTTTTTTGAGCACATAATGGCACATAAGGATTTTTGTAGCTCATCGAGCAGGACCAAGTTCAGACTGGAGGTTGGTAGAGGATTGCAAGGCACAGAAAAGGATGCCTTTCAGCAAGGTACCCTGCCCTTGAAACCAAAGTTGGCTGGATCTCTTGCGGAGCTGCCATTTTTTGGCACATCGGAACTCTTTGTGAAGCAATTTCAGTGGCAAGCCCGGCAAGCCCGGAAAGTTCACTTCAGGTCCAGTGGGTCCAGTGGGTGAAAGTTGGCCGCCGGGAAGCAACTCAGAAGTCAAGAAAGATAGCAGTTGTCAGATGCTCAATCCTGTGTGTGATTGGTACCTTGTAGGGCAAAATAGATTATATATATATTCGCTTCCAAAGTTTCGGTGCAACCACACATTCAAGATCCTGAAGGAGAAATCCCCATCAATGGTTGAGTCACTATCCAACTTGTTCTTGCCCCGGCCGCCAGGTGAGCGTCGATTTTTCCTCAAGCGCGCCATGTTGGCGGAGGATGCTCGCCCAGGGCACAGTTCGCGCCGCCGGCGCTGCTTGGCGGCAAAGTGTGGCAGTTTTGGGTTTGCTGTCTCGCAAATCACCAGTGCCGTCTCGCAAATCACTAAGCTTTGCGAAGGATGAGGACGAACCGCCTTCCAAAGGCAATGGCCCGAAGCAGCGCCGTCTCGGGTCATCCGGAGAAGCGCCCTGCCACCCGACCCGACCACAACCCACCCTGCCCAAAAGACTCAGCAACTCACTTTTTGCCAAGCCAGCACAGCTCTCCAAAGCCCTTGCCACCCAGCTCACGTCCTCATGAACGTCCGTGCCATGCAGCTCCACGGGCCACCAATGACCACACCGGACCACCACGGAACTGACTCACGCCCACCCCGGCTGCCTGAGACGGCCGAGACGGTGGGTCGACGGCCGCAGGTCGAGCGCGACAGTTCACGGGCCTTCGCATCCAGCGGCCGGACCTCTCGGAGAAGTCCGCCGCGGAGAAGGCTGGGGGGGTGAGCTGGGCGAGCCGAAGATGGTAGGGAGAGGGGGTAGGGATGGGGGATGGTAGGGGTGCGAAGAGACTGAGAGTGGGCTCACCAGGAGAGAAGTGCCCTTTTTGCTGGACACAGGGTTTGGTGGGGTTGGTGAGTGGTTCACACTCGCCTTCAATCCTCTCCATGGGGATGGATTCTTGGCCACATCTGGGTTTGGTAGTGGATTTTGACACACGTGCTTGGTATGGTTTTGCATGTCTAAGGGAGGCAGCCCAGCGGAACTGTCGCTGCAACGTGCAGGAACTTCTGAGTCAAAGGAAGAGTTGGCCCGAGATTCTCGGCTTTCCGGTGGGTGGGAGTGGAACCCTCCAGGCAATCTGTAGCAGCAAATGAATCGATCTAGTATGACCTGTGTGCCATGTCTTTGTGTCTCATATCTTGCTTCCCTGCCAACCAACTTAGACTCTTTTTCTCGTTTGCTGGCTTGCCTGTTTGAGTGGCTGGCTGGCTGGCTGGCTGGCTGGCTGGCTACAAGAGACAGTTTGACGTTGTGCCGACATGTGCCGACAAGTTTAGAGGGCAAGCTCCACTCCCTTTCTAAGGATGCTCCTCTTCAAGAAGATCATCTCGAAAGAAGATGGCCAGTGGCGAATCGGCTTGCGTGAGAACTTTGGAGATGAGCCAACATTCAGCAACTGGATTTGGTGGAATTTCAACGACTGGCATGTCGCTTGGCATTCATGGGCGCGGTGTTTTTTTTCTTTTGCGGTTTTCTTTGTAGAGTCCTTTAGAGACAAAAGTATCGATCATGAAAAATGAGACCTGCGCAGACTGACTAGAGCAGGAACATGGCAATTCTAGAGGATGCTCCTCCCTGCCAGGCAAATCCGGGACCAGTGTTCAGACCATCAACAGCTACCGTGGATTGTTGGTCTTTCTGGAACCGTTTCATCCGTTTCCCATGTTGCACCGTGCGCGTCTCGCCCAGCTTTTTTTTGGTGGAGCTCCCGTGCAACGCCGTCAGATCATGGAAGCCTTGAACGAGATGACGATGCCCAGCGGCACCAAAGTCGCTGCCGAAGCCTGGTGGATGGACTCCTACAGCTCCTTGGGCCAGCGACGATCTTCAGCGCGGGCGAACGCAAACGCCACGGCCACGGCCACGGCGTGGCGAAGACCGCACCGCTGTGGACTCCGCAGCATGTGCCTGACTACACAGGACAGAAATGGACCAAGAATGTGCGGGGGCTTTGGAGAAGGCTTCAAAAGCGTGTTCTGTTGTGAAACTCTGACAAAGAAAGACACTTCAAGCAGCTCGAGTAGTCAAACTGCAAGTATAGTTGACTATGTCTATATCTATATCTATCTCTATATATATATATATATCTAGAGCTAAGCATGGCAGTTGAGTTCATGATTTCACAGTAGTTTTGGGGTACACGCGGGCAAACGTCTCCGGCACTTTCTCTACATTTGTTGGAGTTTGTTTCGAAACTGCTGAACGCAGTGAGGCAATGCCAACGGCGAGACGGTGACCGAATACCTAGTGCAGATGTGGCGCCCGGGGGGAAACTTGCCTCCCCCGATCATTGAGTATGACTTGATGCGCAGTGTGGTTGAGGCAGAGTGGGTGTTGCTTGTGCACTGTGGAGACAAACGCCAACTTGTACCTTGCAGCACAAGCTCAGGATGTTGATGGCCCTGCCTAAGATGTTTGATGTTCAGGTATTATGATGAGTTGAAAGTGTATGACATGTCCTTTTGCAGTTCGCGGGCATGCTACATGTTTGACTTTGTCACGTGCCAAGTGGGGCACACTCGGTATGTCTCTTCCTTGCTCCAATGCAAGCTTATTTGAGGTATCGCTTTGTCCATGAAATCCATTGGGTTCAAGGGGTCCATGGGGTCCATGGGGTATAAACTGCATCTTGAGGTGTCTTTGAAATTCTTTGAAGGGTATAACTGAGGCATTGCATTGTTTTGTGGATGTTTTGTGTGACGTGACCACATGGCATGAGTGACTCATGAGTGACCCATGAGTGTCCTGTGCCCATCTGTGCCCATCTGCGCAGATCAGAGTCGTCTCCAATGGCAATCCCAATGACCTGTGGCTGTGGCCGTTGTCAGCGTCCCACTTCGAGGCAAGGCCCACTTGGCCGGCCTGATGGATCAGTTGCCTACTTGCCGACTTGCGTCAACTCAACTACACTAACTAACTATATATGTGTTCAGGACTTGCTTGTGAAACTCCCAAGATTGATCAAGATCGGGAGCCTGGAATGGGAAGCCCCACTCCCACCCGATAACCACCCAGCAACCACCCGGTCACCACCCTTCCCGGCGGTTTCGTTTCGCGTGTCAGGTTCCAGCCTTGGAAGCCTCGGCACAGGTCAGTGTGACCGGAGTGAGCGTTGCTCGGCTGTCGGGCCGGTCGAGCGGAGCCTGTTTTCGCGTTGCTCCGGTCGTTTCCGTGCGTGATTGGACCACGTGGCCGGACCCGTGTAAGGTTTGCAGAATCTGGAATTCCTTCAAACGAAGGGTGAAGGCGGCTTAGGCGCTGTTTGCAAAAAGTGTTTTGAGACAGGTCACTGCTATTCCCTCCTAGGAATCCTTTCAAAGAAGTCATTCTTCGTGTTGTTACTCTTCTCTTGGAATTGAAGCGACACACGCAGACACACACACACACACACTGCACTGCTTTGCACTGCTGCCGCTTGGCATCCCTATGCATGGTGCCACTGCTTCGTGGTCGTATGAGACTTCTCACTGCTGACCTCTTCACCGCTCTAAGGCCTTGCACAGCCCTCGCACCAGCTTTGAGGGTAACATGAGCAACACCAGCATGAACGACACAGAAGAGGCGCCACCGAACCGCGCGGCGGTCGGTCCCGCTGCTCCACCCTGGCGACCGGACCGGACGTTGGGAGGAGTGACCCATTGAGGGGAGGATTCGGATTCCCTGGTCCAAGAACCTTATGATGAACGCCAGCTGCATGCTCCTGCCAGATGGAGGCTTCCCGTCCTGCGTTCGGACCGAAGAAAAGAACCTTTCTGGATCTGTTTTGGCCCAACTGGGGCATCGGTGCTGCGACCGCGTGGCGCAGGTGGAGCCGATTCCCTTTCCTTGTGAAGTGGGAGCTTTCGATTCCCCGAGACTTGGGCCAGGTGTTTTGGGGCGCCAGAAGTGGGCGGTGGCTAGGAACCTTGGGCCTCTGGGGAGTGGTGGGTGTTTCAGATTGTTTCAGAGGAACCTTGGGCTCTTGAGGATGGAGTTGGGAAGGATTGAACCATCGAACAACCCGCGACTGCTGAAGCCTCGGTCGGCCCCCCGTGTCGCGTCGTCGTCGGCCCCGCGCATCCGAGGAACTGCTCCGAAGCCTTCGGTTGCGACTTTGGCGCAACGGTGCAAGGCTGGCTACGGGGCGACGCGACCGGTGGTTGGGGTGGCTGTGAAAGGGTGCACCGAAGAGTGTTTGAATTACACTGCCTGATGATCATTCATGGAAGTGGATGATGATTTCAGATGTCCATTTATAGGGAGTGTAGGCGGTGTAGGCGGCAACAAAGCCACCTGGACCTGACCTTTTTGTGGCTTCGCAGTTCAGGTCCGTGGTGGACCGCTTGGACCACTCCTGTTTGGACCAACCGCTCCGTCACCCGTTTTTCCGAAACCGCTGGGTTCTCCGCGACCTCTTCGGGTGACAGGTCTGAACATCCAGGATTCCCTTCAGATCATTTCACGACGCTTTCACACGGAGAAAAGAGACGCTTAGAGAGGAGAGACGCTGCGTGTTTCTGGGTTCGGTGCTTTCTGGGTTCATACTTGATGGCACACCCGATCCAGTGTGGAGTGGTCAGTGGAGTGACAGACTTGGACCCCTCAAGATTTGATGTTGACCCCCTCGATCCAGGCGGCTCCACCAACAACATTTTCGATGCGTGGCAGATCTATGCAGCCTGGCGGAAGGGGAAGATATATAGGGTTTAGGGTATAGATCAATGCCCCAGTAGAGGGTATAGATCAAGATAGGGTATAGATCAACACCTACTCTGATATCTAGAACCATAGAGAGATATATGGGGTATTTTTCTCAAGATAGAAAGATCCAGTGTAGGTACTTGATCGATTTGATTCCACTGGCCGCACCCTTTTTCATGGCATCATCGGACTCCCAATAGGATGATCTTCCAATCAACCCCTTGCTTTGCTTCGATCCTCCCAATCTTTCGACCACTTGGATGGTCTCCAATGTCTCGATGTTGGAGATGTCCACCTGGCGCGAAAAAGGATCGGTCCCTGATGTGCCCCCCAACAGTTGGTGGTTTGGGGGGGAAAAGCTGTTGGAGGGTCGAACCCAACATATCCAAAATGCTGATGTTCTTTTTTACCAGACACGGATCAATCCCAGTCCTAGCGTTGGAAACACAACTCAGTACAGTACCACTGGGTGCGACTTGAGCCTGTTTCTGCCACCTGTGATGTGACTGTCTTCCACGTTCGGTTATTGGCTTCCCTTCAAAATTTGTCAAGGAACCCTTGGAGAGAGGAGTGAGTGCATTTCTCGTGGTTTGCGATGCTAGCTTGACTGAGGACACCTGGGAGGAATGCCAGCAGAGATGCTGCCATGACCAGGAGATTGGACACGTGTTTTTTCGGAACAGCGAGCGCAGTTTCATCACCAGATGTCCAGATGTCCTGATTGGCTTGGTATCCAAATGACAAGTCCAACGTCGAATGGCGCGAACTGTGGCCTAGGGCCATGTTTTGGGGCGTCTGGGATCATTTTCTCGCATGGCCAGTCGCGGCTCAAGGGAAGTGCTCGATCGTTTTGCCTTCACAGCCTTTTGCAAAGAAGCAGCAATCCTAAATATACCAGCAAACAAGGAAACTTGCCCCTGGGCAGGTAGACAAGTGAATCCTTGAAGGGCCTTTGAACATATGTTGGAAGTGATATTGATGTTTGAGCGCTTTGTAGTTGTTTGAACTGTCCTGCAGGTTTGCCAAAGTGGCTTCAATTTTGCAGGCAACTTCAGTTTTTCCTGCGTTTGGATCGGCCTCTTTACAAGCAAAGCCGTTCCGGTGCAGGACTGCTTTGCCGTATCCTATGACACAATCAACAAGGAGCGATTGGGGCATCAAAAGGATTTTATCCTCTTTCAAGTTCGAAAGACAGTCAATCTGATGAATATCTCGTACTTTGATCACCCATGTCTGACTCACCACCTCATAACCTCCATCTTGGAGAGCGGCACTCATAACCTCCACGTTCGGTTCCTCGCCGACTGCTTCGCCTCTTCGGCCGTTGGAGACCGACTGCTCCGCGTCGGTCTCGGCTCGCCTTGTTCCTAGTAGCGTGGCACTTGTTTCTAATAGCTTCTTGTTTCTACTAGTAAGGCACTTGTTGCTACTAGCGTGGCACTTGTTACTAGTAGCGCCTCTTCGCCTCTCGGCTTGGCCAGTATTGCAAGAAGCATTCCGAGCGGCAAGACCACCAACTCACGTCGCTTGTCACGGCATGCGTGGCGTGGTGTCGTCGCGTGGAGTGTCAAGGGTGTGGACGACGAGGCCCAAGAGAGTCCAGTCCGGGCCTGGGGCCCCCAGTCGGTGTGTTCAAGAACAACGAGGATCGAGGATCGAGGGATGAAACACTGAAATCGTAGGACATCCCATTGGAACAAAGGGAAGAAAGACAAACAAAGGGATTGTTGGCTTCCAATGAGCCAGCGGGATGAAAGTCAATGTCCCTTTGGAACAAAGGCGACTGGAAGTCAACGGGCCTTTGTGAATCCAACAGCTTAGACAAAGACGGAACTTTCCGATGACTCTCTGATCCTTGGGCTAAGTCACGCCTGCCACTCCTGCAGAGATTCTTTTTGTCACAACACAGAAAAGACATGGAAAGAGTGGACGAGATTCCAAATCGATTCTTTTTCCCCAGCAATGGTCGAAGGAAAAAGCAGATGACCAGTGTCACGGATTGTCAGTGTTTCGGATTGTATGAGGTTGAATAAATGCAGCTTTGGAAATATTAATTCTGTTATAAACTGGGTGATGGACCTGTTGGACATGAAGACTGCTTACCAAACCATTTTGGATAAATGGGAATCTCAATGTACATGTTCAATATGAACACCCTCCCTCATCTCCAAGTCCTCACTTTGGGTTTGGCCCAGGACTTCGGACACGGATCTCTATGCACCCGTGGTGAGCCGCGAGCCCTCCACGGATGGCTTCAAGCCCTTTCGCGGGCGCGTGGAATTCCAAGGAATTCAAGTGGGTGCCTACCCTGGACATCGCTCCTTGGCTGGACTTGAGAGTGGCAGGTCCATGGTCCGATGTTCCATGGACCATGGACCCACAGGTGACCTGGTGTGTTCTTCCTTTTCTCAGACCTGCCAAGGCTCAGTCACCTTCTGCAAGGAACGCTGCGCAGCGGAACCGACCCTCGGAAGGAAGGCTGCAGGCGGCAGCAAGGAGGTTGGAGTCAGGTGCATGTGGTGCCTCTAAGCGGGCCGGTCTCGAATGAAGAATGTTGGTACTGGTATCAAAAGTCGGCCAAAACCAAAGCCAAAGAACGCAGTGAAAGCATGGGTTCAAGACATGCGTGACCTGTCACGGTGTTCCAAGGATGTGCAACCATATCATTTGGCATGAGACTCGAGGATGCTTCTTGAGGCGCGATCTTGCTCACTGCCATGTGGTTTTCCGGTTTCAAGAGCTCGTTGTGAAGGGTGAAGTAAGAACTCGACCCAATATTTCAGTGCTGGAAGTCCAGTGACCGACTGGAGATCTGTTGAGCCGCAGGAGCCAATGCATTGATGACAACAGCATTCGCGGAGATGCGCTGCACTGAGAGCACACAGAACGAGTATCGAAGGTCCATGCGACATTCACAAGCACTGGAGACGAGGGAAAAGAAACAGGCTTCGATGGGGGTGCATTGTTGTGGCCGTAGAAAGCTGCGCGACCGATTTCTGACGTAAGACCTATTCTTGAACAGCAGGACTATGCGACTATCGCGATCGCCAGGGGCCAACAAAAACAGCAAAAGATACTAATTTTGATTTGGCTTTGATCTACAAACCTTAGATGATCAGCACGCCTGGGCAGCTGGTCCTGTTGATGTGCTGTTGCTGCTGCTGGAGGCCAAGCATGGCCGCCCACCGCGCTCGCCGCCTTCCCATGGCCTGAGGTTTGGAATGCTGATGACCAGCACTGGACCTTCTACAAGATTCAAGGAAGGCAGGATCGGCACAGGATGAAAGGCTTGAGACCATGTTTTTCTGATAGGGCGACTGGACGACTTTGGCCAGGAATGCGATATGAGCCGAGCAGTAAATCTGCCAAAGAACAAACATTCTACACTCCCTGAAAGAATCATGGAAGTGGACAGTGGTCCCTTGGGAAGACTACTTTCCTCTACCAAGAGGGGGTTGTCCACTTCCATGATTGTTGCAGGGAGGGTATTCACCTTTTACAGGCCGAAGTCGGAAGTGACAGGCTGTGCTTCAATGTGCTTTATCTACCACATCCCCCCAATTAGATGTCTCTGATCTTATTTGCAGAAAATAACCCATCGAAAAAACAAGATGGAGCCCACGAACCCGAAATGCAAACACGTTCGAAAAGCTACATATGTCCAAATGACACTCTTGTAGGACACTCTTGTGGGACACTCTTGTGGGTCACTCTTGTGGGACACTC